AGTAGATTGCAGGGCCTGCCTTCCTAGTTTGTCTTCACAGGGCAAGATTACACAATAAGTAAAGTATGCACAGGCTTAGTTGTACATATTTACTAATCTACAGTGAACAGTTTTCACATGTTTTTTCAGAAAGTGTTCGCTACAGATTAGTAAGTAAACACAAGTAAGATCATGCTTTCCTTGCTTATTGGGTAATCGGGCACTGTGTCTTAGTCTGGAAGCTTTGATGAAAACTATTCAGCATCGTGGCAATATGCACGCTTCCTCTGGCTGGGTGGTGGTGACTGCAGTTAATGGTCAAATGTTGGGATGGTCATGTTGAACAAGGATGGGATTCATTGTGTTTAGCATCCAAGGCAGAACTAGAATTGTAGAAGAGTTATTTGCTCAGTTATAAAGTAGAATTTTGTAGTAATGAGTGTTGGGCAACAGTGGTAATTGCCAGTATTTAATACCGAGTTATTTTTCTTCTTGAACAGTTCATGCATATCATGAGGAGGTTAAACACTCCCCCCCGCCCCACCCAGTACTAGTGTTTTTTTTTTTTTTTTCTAATTGTGATTTAGGTGAAAGTTTACAGAGCAAATTCATTTTCCGAACAATAGTTCATACAAATTTTGTTTCATGACATTGATTACAATCCCCATAATGTAGTAGCTCTCCTTCCCACTTCCTCCCTGTGGTTACCTTTTCCGTGTATCCTTCTTTCCCATATATTCCCACTCTCTGAGCTATCTTTCTGTGCAAATACTACCCCCTTCTGATTTCTCGTGGTTGATTTTTCTAAGGAGTATACCTACCTAGTGTAAATGTTCACCTTATATGCCTGTCTATTGTTTGACTGGAAGCCACGGGAGTGAGTTCAATTCTAGGCCTGAAGGGTGACTAGTTTCCATAGTTTTGGGGGTTTTGCCAGTCTCTGTCAGACCAGTAAGTGTGGTCTTCTTTATGATTTTGAGTTTTGTTCCACATTTTTCTCCCAGTCTACCCAGGATCTTCTATTTTCTTTTTTCACCATAGATTAATGTTTGTTATTACTGATAATATAGTATCGTATATGTAAAAGTGTTTTTTTTTTAATATATCTGTACCTCTTATGCACCTCTCTGTGTCTTCCTTTCCTTAGCATTATTCTGTTTGTCACTCAATTTAATATGTTACCTTTCCCTTCACCCAAATCGATACTTGTCTCTTACCTATCTTGCAATAGGTAAGTAACCAACATTCCTGGTAACCAACAAAGAAAGTTTCCTTTCATATATAAACCTTTCCTTGGCATTTTATAATAGTGAAATAATACAACGTTTGTCTGAGATTGACTTGTTTCACTCAGCATAATGTCCTCTAAGTTCATCCAC